TTTACAAAGGTTTATTTCTGAGGATTTTGATGTAAATTGCTCCTCCTGTGGACTCCAAACTGAAGATTTGACTCATTTATTTTGGTATTGTGAGTATACTAAGAATCTGTGGGAAAACATTTTGAGTATTTTTTGTGGTATAATTCCTGAAATTTCATTGAAATATAAAAATGTTATTCTGGGTTATACACATTTTGAAAGGGAACAATCAGATGTTTTTTATTTACTCAATCTTATTTTGTTTCTCGCCAAATATTTTGTACACAAATGTAAATATTGTAAGTGTAAGCCTTTCTTTAACCTTTTTCTGGAAGAGTTAAAACTATATATGTATTTGATTTCTGACTCTTCCAATAAGAAAGCTGTAAAAACTGTGAATCTTTTTAAAAGGTACATTATTTTCTTGCTCCCTGGCATGTAGTATGTTAATGTCATTCTGTGTTTCATATATTATAATAATAAAAAAAATTTTAAAAATGTGATCGTCTGAGACAAATTTTGAAAATCCTAAAAGATTCCTATAATCCTAGGATAAAATCTGTAGTCTTTGATTACTGGTTTAACATGTTCACCGACAGCCAATTAATAGCCATTGCAATCAAATTTGACCTCCAACGAAATTCTGGCAGTGTCAGAAGATTTGGCGCACAATCCTGCAGTGTGACTTCTACGACGAACGTCAAACTGTCTTTGTTTTTCAAGACAAGCCATGATCAGAATTAATGCTAGAGATTTATTCTATCCACCATAAACTCCGGTGCTCCCGTCCTCCGCTCACAGAATTCATATGATACGTTGCCTTTGCAACATATAAACACTGATTGCTCTGCTGTTTTTGTGTGGGTGTGTACTTACACTATTCTTCTTAAATACGCTGGTATTGCAGCCATTCATATACTTTTCATGATAGCCAACATTTCAGCCCAGCGTGTAATGCAGCTCACAGTCACTTAACGTGTATGGGTTGATAAGGTAAAACTCCGGACAAGTTTTCTTCCGGAAAACTTACCGTCGTACAGTCTGACATTAATGACAACTGAGTGTGACATGATTATCATGTTCGTACAGTCTGACAAGTGCAATCCTAAAGGACTTTTAAAAATTGTACAGTGTGAGCCCGGCTTAAACTAGGATTAGGCCAAAGTTCAATTAGGACATTTAAATAATTTTTATAAACCTGCTTTAGAAAAACATTACTGGTGTGCATCTTGAGACAAAACAAAGGCACTGATATATTTTAAGATCAATCAGTGCGTTTCTTTCAGTTGAAACCGCTCAGGCTTACATTTTAGTCTGGAACTAGGCTTAAGCCTTGTCTGTGAAACCAGGGGCATATCTCTGCTCTGCAAATAAAATGTTAATTTTGACACCAACCATGTTTTTGTGTTTAGGCCACATGGTTCAAGGGTCTTTATACAATTTGTGAATTCAGTTATATTTTATTATATATTGTCTTAAGTGTTTCAAATGATCCTTATTGATGTAATGATTTGTTTGTAGTTAAACATAAACTGTATTGCTGATATGAGGTTGCTGATTTTCCGAGACAAGTTATTGGTGAGTCTTACTGAGTTTCCATCCTCAGTTATTTAATGTAACTAAATGTTTACACAGGCATTCAAGAGTTATACTGAAGTTGTTTGTTGTACTTGTTGGTACTAAGTTTTAAGAAACTGTTTAGAATGTGTCATGAAGGGTTTATGAATTTTATTTGTTGTCTTTTTACACTCAAATTAGTGTCATCTATGAACACAGGCATGAAAGAGTTTATGCAAGAGTTAATTGTTGACTTGCTGACCTATTAATGTATTGAGTTTTGAGAAACTATTTAGATTGCAGATTACTTGTTTGTCAAAGGTTTTTTTTTACTTTGTATTAAAAAGAACATCTAGAACACACAAAACAATAGCATTTTTTGTTTGGAGCTCCTATTTTATTCACAGTATATTGTATCTTTACAAACGGCTTTTAAAAAATGCACATTTAAAATGTGTTGAAGTCTGTTTATTTTGTGATAACTTTATACAAATGATCAAATGAGTGTGAGTTCAGTCCCCACAATGACTAAAAACTGGTGTTTAGTGTGTTTAGATTTGATCCCCACAATGACCAAAAATTGGTGTTTACTGTGTTTAGATTTGATCCCCAGAATGACCAAAAACTGGTGTTTGCTGTGTTTAGATTCAATCCCCACAATGACCAAAAACTGGTTGTGTGTTAGCCGGACCCCAGATATACACAATAGCTGAAATGTCCCCACAAGTGACCACTGTGTCATGTTTATAACTTTTGTAGCCAAATATTTTTAATCTGAAGTGATACTTTTTAACAGGCTTTTTAGTTTTTTTGTCAGATTATTTTTTTTAGGTCTCTAGGATCGTAGGAATCAAGGGCGGTCCCCACTATAGCAATTCTGACCGGTGACCCCCACAATGCATCAAAACAAGTGTGTGTGTGTGTGTAATCGTGTGTTTTACATAAAGTTTTTTTTGTTTACGCTAAGCCTTCCTTTAACGGACATTAATATAAGAAAAACAGTTTCCTCAAGCTGTTATATATTTATGTCATTCATTTAATTTCATATGTTGGTATTAATTCAGTGTTTATAATGCTGTTATAATGTTATTACGTTATAATGTTTATAACGTGAACATTATAATTTCAACCGAAAAAGGACATGGATTCTAGAGAGCAAGGTTTTGTGAAAAAAATGGAAGACTGTAAAATAAACTGTTAAAAGGGTTTGATTATCACTAGTCTAGTGATTGAACGTTATTGTTGTCATAATTCAGGTTGTATTTCAGCTTTAATGTACGTTTTTTTTAAACAGCACGAAGCTAGTGGGCTGCCAAGTCGCTTTCACTCCAAAATGACGGAAGCGCAGGGCTGCTGCTGTGCGCTGCTGTTGCAATGGAACGGTCTATTGGCTTTCACTTCTTGTCAGAAGTTGCTTCGGATTGGAATTTCACTTAGATGGCAATACCCTGTGATGTCCACTTCGCAGTCCACTTACGGTCAAATGGAACGCACCTTCTGACAGAAATGTAATGACGTCAATGCTATAATGTCATTGGTTATCAACTCGCACGTGGTATAAGACTGTTACGCTTTCTCCAAAGGTAGAGCCGCGAAGGCTGGTATCTCCCCATAAAAATATAATCTCTGATTAGGAGCTGGTTCTTGATAAACTCTATCTAGCAGTGACGTACCACTGTGTATTAATACTATAAAAACGCATGTTTTTATTGGAAGAAATATTTACGTTTCTCTGACATCTCGGCAGTTTATGTTATGTAGCCTAGTTTATGTACTTGACAAGTTTTGTATATTAACTCTCGGATTTTGCTGTTAATATAATACTTATCTTTTTTGTATTTATTTGTATTCTTGAAATTGTTATATGTTATTTATTAAGGTAATGATAATAGCAAACACATAAAAAATGCATGTTTTCAACGGACAATGGTCCTCGCGATATCGCACGGTCATCTCACAAGGCCAAATTTTCACTGAAAAAAAAACAAACAAATCTACTGTCCCAATAATACAGCTTTATAATAATATAATAATATAATAATGCAGTTGCCTATGGTATATTTCAAAACAGCATGTTTTCACATCGAAATTGTGATGACCCAGTGGCCTAATGGATAAGGCATCAGCCTCCGGAGCTGGGGATTGTGGGTTCGAGTCCCATCTGGGTCGGTTCTGTGACATGCACCTTTTGCACCATACTTTCAAATAACATACATACTATATAAATCTGCTCATGTTTCATTCGTGACGGAATCCGCTGTAGAATCTTTTCCGCTCATATGCTCATGTACTGACTATATTTTTCCACTATCTTTCCCCCCTAATTTAACGCCGATTACATTCTTGGGTACTCTCCAAAATGGCAAACTCGGGGGAGAAGAATTGTTAAATAAATTATTGTTTATTTTCTTTGCGCACAAAAAGTATTCTCGTAGCTTCGTAACCCCCAAAGAGCAAAAGACAAAAAATTGATTTCAGCGAAAATCATCTTGAATTACTACAATTAGAGAAAGAAAAGAATGTAATTCAAATTGAAAATGCCAAGTTACAGAGAGAGGTGCTTCTTTACAGATGTATTACAGATTCAAAAAGAAAAACTTACTACAGAACTACAAGTACAAATAGTTTTTAGTGAGTTGTAGCAATGTAGGAAATAGATTGAAAATGAAGGAAACATTACGAAAAACTATTTATTTATTTGTTAAATATATGACTAGTAAACAATAGGCTATTATTTCTGTAAAGATATCAACTATCCGTTTATTTATTTATTTATATATTTGTTTGTTTGTTTGATTAAATATATAACTTGTTAATAGTTATGTAATATCATAAATGCATGTTACTGTCGTATTACTGCAATAAAAGAAAAGGTACATTTTTTTTTTTTAGAAAAAGGGCAGTATTGACTAAATACAAAACTGGTAATGTAAGGTAAGGAATGTGTGCTGCATAAAAGTGACCACTTTTAAAGTAGCATACATGCATAAATATATAAACTACATACTATACTGCATTTACTACATTACTGTACTATACTTCATACTATACACTACTACATGCTATATAAATACAAATACACATACACACTGCTATTATGCAGTGAAATGGTTTTCAATCAAGGTCCTCCGGACAGCATTGCCATTTGCATTGGCAGCATTGTGCTCCTCTCCTTCTTCCTCTGTGTTCCCAATTCGGTAATCCACTTCAAACTCTGGTAGCACCTCATCTCCAAGTCTTTTCCCAAAGTTATACAGCACTGCCAGAGCAACAATGACTGCCAGTGTTGTATCAAGCTTTGTTCGAAGCCCATTCTGCAGGCAGGGAAACACCCTCTCGACAAGACCTCTTGCTGCAATGTGACAGGTGTTGTATCGTTTCTCAGCTGGCATTGAAGGGTTCAGGATGGGTGTCAGTAGGTAGGCGCAACAGGGGGATCCATTGTCACCTACTAGGTGGCCCTGAAATGCATGGCTTTCAAGCAGAGCGCAGAGGTGGCTGTTATCAAAGATCCTGCTATCATGTGTAGATCCTGGCCATCGAGCTACAATGTTGGTGATTTGGGCCTTCTCATCACACACAACTTGAATATTGATGGAACAGTAGCCCTTCCTGTTGCGAAACAACTCTCCATTTTCTCCACCTGGGTTTTGAATGGGAATGTGAGTACAGTCAATTGCTCCTATAACTCCTGGAAAACCAGCTCTTCTGTAAAATCCAGCAGATGTTTCTCCTGTTGGGGCAAACCTTATATACTGATTTTTCAAGGCTGCAATTGCCTGTGATACTCTTCCATCAATTCTGCTCACTGTTGACTTGTGTACTCCAAAAAGGTCCCCATGCACCATTTGGAAACAACCAGTAGAGTAAAAGTGCAAGGCTGGAGCATAGGAGGTATGGCTGCATTTCGGTCACTACCATGTCTAATTGCAGGTTCAATTTTTTTATTTAATCTCATCACAGATTCCTTGCTGAATCGGTACCGATTTGAAAATTCATCACCATCATAAAACTCAACAGGGTTGAGACGGTCCCTTATTTTTCTGCGAGGAACTCTTTCATTTTCTCCAATCCACCAAATAAGTGCTGCCATTTTGAGAATTTAAACCTCCTCAACAGCAAGTTTAAAGTTAATCCTTAACTGAAATTTAAATCTGAGTTTAAAGTGATGGAGCAACAAGATTATAGTTAATCCAGGTTTATTGTGAAATTAAATCCAGGATCAAAATGATGGTTTAAATGTAAGCCTGCTTATTTTTAAGCAAGGTTTAAACTTTGGTGCAACGTAATTATTAGATAAACCTTGATTTAATCTAGATTAAAGCTTAATCCTTGTTGGTGCAGCCCACCCTAAAACAATATAAACTAATCTAACACATAAACACACGCACTCACATATTCATACAAGTTGCAGGAAGAGAGAAAGAATGAGTTTAAGAGAATGAAAATGTGAAATCCCAAGTTTATAGCAATATGTGCAATTGCATAGACCTGAACAACCATCAATTAACCCTCGCATTGAGTTCCTCAATGAGGTTAAAATTTATATTAAATGCACCAGTTCAGCTAGAACCTGGAGATACTTGTGTTGCCTGTGTAGGGGGGTTTCCTTTGTTGTCATCATTAAAGAAAGGGGGTTTCCCGAGGTTGCTGATTGGCTGGAAGTTCAGTGTTGATGTGATGTCTTGGGAAGCCAATGGTTGGGCATTGGCTGAAGATGCGGAGTTGTGGGCTGATTGAAGTTTTGAGGCTGTCACAGACTCGAGGTGAACTCTGAGACACGGCGTTGCGGCAAAACTTAACTCAGAACATGAAACTCTCAATTGAAAGAAAATAAACAAAAATAGAAGCCAGCAAGAAGAGTTACGTGACTAGATGGCGTATCTCCTCATGGTTTTGGAGGAGCAGCTGACCTGTAAGCCAGAGCATGCTCAAAGAGCACGCTAAAAATCACCATCAAAACGTGGTGGCAAAAAGGCAACGAAAAAAACCTAAAAGCATAATTTGATGGTGTCCTGAGTATTTTCGGTTTCAGTGGGTGGAGCAAACATGAATATTCATGAGTTTCCCGGACATGCACGTGGAACCAATTGGAACTGAGAATTTCAGTTCACGCTCCTTGTATCTCAGCAGGTTTAATGGAATATTTTAAAAAAGGTAAATATTTTACAGCGTTGCACAAACCTATGCCTAAACTACATTTGTTTATCATTTTGTAACAGTTTATAATGTTTTTATTAGTTTGCACGTTTTGTGCAGTCGTCACTGACTGAATGATTGCAGACATTCAGCACACTTAAGCTAATTGTAACTTACTTTGATTTCAGTTCGTTGTGCTGTAGCTTGCAATGCTTTAAAACAGTGTCTGTTGTTAGTTGTTTTAATTTAAATACAAAAGCTGAAATAAACTTGTATTTGTGGACCGTTTTTCATCTGTCCTGGTGTGATTGTTCTTAAACTGTTAGGCTTAGGCTGTATTTACAAAATGAATAGGAATCTAAGACCACACACAAGCATGAAAGTGTTCCTTTAATAAGTACAATTTTGGATTAAACCAAATTGCATGGACACAAGTTTAAAAAGTAGCCTACATTTGGTACACTGTAAATGAGAAAACAAATACTTCACTGCATTTTATGGAATAAGAAACTAATTTCATGTTAAAAAATAATTGTATTAACAAATACGTGCTTGTGCTTGTTTTGATATGAAATATACAGTACTGTTCTAAGGATTTGTATTAGTAAGTGTAGGGATTTTCTTAATAGAGATAAAAGTATAAACTATTGAAAGTCAAAGTCAGTTTTGATCAGGTGGACCTCGAATTCTCAGATCGAGTTCTTTTAAAACCTGAGCTAGAAATAAACCTGAATGAATTAATAATGATTAATTCCCTTACAACTAAGTAAAAATTATTACATAAGGTTCTTTGTTCATGTCACCAACTGCATCAGATTT